CCTCGAGTTGCAATATTGAAAGATTCTATGGGCAAAATATTGAATGATACAGGAAGCATCAAAAGAAGATGGAAGGAATACACAGAGTTACTGTACCAAAAAGACCTGGTCTATCATCCATTTCAGGAGGTCGCATATGATCAAGAACCAATGGTACTTAAGGAAGAAGTCAAAGCTGCACTGAAGGAATTGGCAAAGAACAAGGCTCCAGGAATTGTCGGAATATCCACTGAGATCTTTCAACAAACAGATGTCCCTTTGGAGGCACTCGCTTGGTTATGCCAAGAGGTTTGGAAGACAGTTACCTGGCTAACGGACGAGAAGGAGATCCATATTTGTACTCATTCTAAAGAAAGGTGATCCCACACAATCTGGAAATTATCAAACACTATCATTAATAACACATGCAAGTAAAATCTTGCTGAAGATCATTCAAAACTGGTATATTGACAGAAAACTTTCAGAAATGCACAATTGGTATCAGGAGAGGATGTGGAACGAGGGATATCATTGTCAATGTCTGATGGATCTTGACTCAAAGCAAATACCAGAAAGATGTTTACTTGTGTTTTATTGACTACGCAAAAGCATTTGATTGTGTGGATCATAACAAATTGTGGATAACATTGAGAAGAATGGGAATTCGAGAACATTTAATTGTACTCATGAGGAACCAGTACAGTGACCAGGAGGCTGTCATTCAAACAGAACAAGGGGATACTCCATGGTTTAAAATCAAGAAAGGAGTATATCAGGGTTGTATCCTTTCACCATACTTGTTCAATCTATATGCTGAGCCATTAATCTGAGAATCTGGACTATAAGAAGAAGAATGTAACATCAGGATTGGAAGAAGAATAATTAACAACCTGTGATATGCTGACAACACAACTTTGCTTGCTGAAAGTGAGGATGACTTGAGGCACTTAGTGATGAAGACTGAAGAATACAGTCTGCCATATGTAATGCATCTCAATATAAAGAAAACACAAATCCTCACAACTGGGCCTATAAGCTGCATCACGATAAATGGAGAAAAGATTGAGGTTGTCAAAGACTTCACATTGCTTCGTTCTACGATCAATGCTAATGGAAGCAGCAGTCAGGACCTCAGATGACATGTAGCACTGGGCAAGTCATCTGCAAAAGACCTCTTTCAAGTGCTGATGAACAAAGATGTCTCCTTGAGGGCTAAGCTGTGTCTGATACAAGCCATGGTATTTTCAAGCACCTCATACACATTTGAGACCTGAACAATGAATAAAGAAGACCAAAGAAGAGTTGATGCTTTTGAGTTGTGGTGCTGGCAAAGAATGCTGAAAGTACCATGGACTGATAAAAAAGATCTAACAAATATGTTCTAGAGTAAGTGCAGCTGGAATGCTCCTTAGAAGTAAGAATGGCCAGACTTTGTCTCACCATTTTGGCCAGTGATTAGAAGGGCCCATTCTGTGGAGAAGAATGTCATGCGTGGTAAGGTGGAAGGTCGAGGATAGAGAGGAAGGCCCTCATAGAGATGGATTGACACAGTGGTGATGGACTCAAGTATAGCAAGAATCGTGGAGCTGGCGCTGGGCCGGGCAGTGTTTCATTCTGCTGTGCATAGGGTTGCTGTGAGTCAGAGACAACTTGATGGCATGTAACAACAACAACAAGTATAATAATACTGAGTCCATACAGGTTAGTTGTGAGGTTGCAATGATATACTACACATGAACTTCTTTATAAACTGATAATTCTCTTCAACCCTTGGCTGTTTAATGAAATGGTATTAGAAATTAAAAACTAGTTTTCCAGATTTGAAATAAATCATGCTATCAAGTAGTATTCTAATTGCTATAATTGAGTGTTCTCAAGAGTCAGATCTGCTTATAAATATATTCAGAGAAGAAAAGATAATTAGAAAATAAAAATCCATAAATTATGCCTACCTCTATAATTTTAAAATAATGAGACAAGACCAAGGATAGTCTAAAACTCCTTTAAATGTATTGTGTTCTACATCTGAATTTGGACTTGGATTTCAAGCTACCTCTGCCACTACTTTTTCTTTGGTTTACACTCTCTTTATCTTACTTTTTGATGCTTATAGAATGGACATAAGAATACTGACCTAAATTGGTTGTTGTGAAAAAAGTAAGATATGGCAATAAATAATTGGGCACAGTTTACAGTAAAAATACCATCCACAAATTAAAAACAGTAAGTAGTAGTAGCAGTAGCTGTTGTAGTGTTACCAGTATCTCAGGGATTGTGTAATTAGCCTACTAGGTGTCCATCACAAATTCTGTGTTAATAAAAGGAAATATTTGTTGAATGAATAAATAAGTGATGGAATGATAGAAAAGCCATAACAATAACAACAACAACAAAAAAAAAAAAACAGAAAATTGAGATTTCCTTTGACATTATTACATATTTAAAAGTCTCTATTCTTTCCATTTGATTACAATCTATCAATTTAATTATTAAATGGATCTTTTTTAAGTGGATTATACTTTAGACACACATGCTTTCTTGGGAGTTGTAATATAATATTCATCGTAACAACATTTACTAATAGTACTTTTTTTATTTTCTCTTGGAATAGTCTTGAGCTTTGTAGATGATTGTATTAACTGTTTATTTTCTGGGATGTGCACATTATTCTCCCGGTAAAAGGCTCAAGCTAAGATGTCCTCAGAAATACGTATCTGTATATAATATTTAGTGTCATTTTTATATGTCTATAGATGGGTTCCAGGACAAATGTATAGGATTGTTATTATTTTAAAAGGAGCTCTGGTAGTATAGTGCCTAAGGTATTTCACTGCTAATCAGAAGGTTGACGGTTCAAACCCAGCATCCACTCCTCGGAAGGAAGGTTGGGCAATCTACTTCCGCAGTCATACCACCTTGGAAACCCAAGGAGGGGCTGCTATGATTCGGATCTGACTCAATGGCAGTGAGTATTATGTTAAAAATTTTCTTTCCACAGTCCACAAAAAAGATAATTTTGAACTTAAACCTCATTATTTGAAAAGAGCATGTATTGTGGGGCACAGCACCACAGTGAGTGACAGGCCTGAGGAACATGCACCTGTGTAACTTGCAAGAGAACCATCAGAAATAACATAGGCATGTGATTAGTCCAGTGAAGAAATTTACAGTACTTCTGCACATGATTTTAAACTATTCAGTCTATATCAGGCAGCCATTAATAATCCAAGTTAGATAAAAATATCATTAGAAAGAGGCAAAATGGTTTTTAAAAATACAAACATTCTTTTTGATTAAACTCTTTAGTGTAAAGATATAAATATAGCTGCTGGCTTTTACATTGAAATACTTTGTCACAAATATATTTAAGCCAGAATACGAACAAAAAACACACTTAAAGGGAGCAATGTCGAGAATGTTGCTGTTGTTAAGTGCTGTTGAGTCCTCTTCAACTCATAGTGACCCCTCCTTGGGTTTCTGAGGCAGTATCACTACAGAAGTAGATTGCCCAACCTTTGTTCAGAGGAGTGGCTGGTGGGTTTTATCCACCAGCCTTCTGATTAGCAGTCAAGTGCCTTAGGCACTATGCTAACACACCTCCTCCCACTGTAGAGAATGGTACTTAACAAATACTCCGAATGCAGGATATAGTATAGAGTAGCCGGTTCACTTTCTGCCACATTGCTGAAGGCCCTCTCAGTTCCACCCTGAAAAATGGGACCTTTTAGAGAAGCAAGAAAATTGGTTGAGGTTTGCAGTGTTCACCAAGGTCTGATATCCTGCTGATTAGTTGTATGTGTAGCTAATTTGTACGGGAAAGGAGGATGAACAAGCACAGAAGCTCATGATTCTTCACCTATTCTTAAACTATCCTGAGATTATGAGGGCTAATTACATAACACAAAATAGAATTAGAAATAGACTAGGGCATTAAAGGAAATCAGAAGGTTTGAGTATGGCTATCATTTCAAATAGGAGCTCTGGTAGCATAGTGGCTAAGACACTTGCCT